TCAGGTTCAATTAAGGCGAGTTTATCTCGACACATCCCACATACAGGCAATGCTCAAGAGAATTGGGGACACGTGCAGTATACTAGGGGATTTATAACATTTATCTCGATGATGGATGAGTACTGTTAGATGAACACCTGCTGTCTGCATTCTCTTCGTCACAAATGATGTTTGATACGTGTAGGTCTACAAAATGATAACAATGTCGCAAAGACTTTCAAGAAATCAAGTACAATTCCAACATTTCCACCCATATCTAATTACTGATATAATATATAAGAACTTAAATGAATTGAATATAATCAGAGGTCTTCGTAAGCAGGACGGTATAAGAAAGACAAATCTCATCCGATTGTTCCACATCTACGGAAGACATTGGAACGTTTAATAGACACTTATGTTCATATTGGTTATTTACTGAATTAATTCCATATGGTATGTAAAAGTGTGTTACGATAGAAGAGGAATCAAGTATCTTGGGATAGAGAAACCAATATCTCGTAATAGCTGTCATTTATGATAAACTAGGATGGATAATTATTAATCACTGCTGTATCAATGGATGCACACAATCCATAGACGGTATAATGCGATATAGCCGGTGCCAGGTAAAAATGTCAGAGGTAAAAATGTCAGAGGAAAAAATGTCAGAGGTAAAAATGTCAGAGGTAAAAATGTCAGAGGTAAAAATGTCAGAGGTAAAAATGTCAGAGGTAAAAATGTCAGAGGTAAAAATGTCAGAGGAAAAAATGTCAGAGGTAAAAATGTCAGAGGTAAAAATGTCAGAGGTAAAAATGTCAGAGGTAAAAATGTCAGAGGAAAAAATGTCAGAGGTAAAAATGTCAGAGGTAAAAATGTCAGAGGTAAAAATGTCAGAGGAAAAAATGTCAGAGGAAAAAATGTCAGAGGTAAAAATGTCAGAGGTAAAAATGTCAGAGGTAAAAATGTCAGAGGTAAAAATGTCAGAGGAAAAAATGTCAGAGGAAAAAATGTCAGAGGTAAAAATGTCAGAGGTAAAAATGTCAGAGGTACAAGCACAAAAAATGAGTGCCGTCATAATATCTCAGCACTTTTATCACACAGAATGTCGAGACGTACAGCTACTGCATGGGCTAGTCTATTATATTCCTTTCTTCCATAATGTAAATTTTATAAATGGCTGTCTGTTGTATTTCGTACATGTCCTGAGGATAATACAATGTGGAAAATAGATTTTGAAATTTATTTTTTTGTGATCAGGCTTGCATATATATTACGTATGAATGTCTAACATTTTTTGATATTTTGAATTGGTTGATGTGTTAATGTTTGTGAAACGGACCGGTTTGGCCGGTGGCAGCCTACAACCTAGCCCATGTAACGTTCCAGAGACGAACAAAGTCCAAACGAAGAAATGAAAGTTCTCGACAAAAGTCAGATGTTAAAGTGAGTAGTGCATTTAGTACAAATAATTACATATAATCACGAGGAATCACGAAAAGTGACATATAAAGGCTGGACGCCCAGAACTCTGCTAAAGCTTTAGCACCTCATGGCGGCAAAGGAAGTGGAGTAAGAATGAGAAAAAAAACAAGAAGTCGCCCGAAAAGTGAAAAATCGCTCCGAAAACTAAAAACCCGCTCCAAAAAACCGTCTCGATTCAGAAGCTCATCCCCATTTTAAACCCTCCGACACGGTGTGACCCCTCATAAGGGCGTGTCACTACGACGCATTGCGTCAAAATAATCCCCGGCACCATAGTTACACACCCATGTCGAAAGGAACTTTATTAATTTTGCGAACTTAACCTCCAGAGTTGAGCTTTCCGGCCCGCAATACTCATCGGCCTCGTAACTTACATAACTCTCACATTTGCGCTCTTTCGATCTTTAACTCTTTTATTCGACATCTTTATTAAATCCGAAGAACGCAAACGGGCCGGAAATATAACAATCCTGGAGGCAATTATTTGAATGATAATCGGAGCATGCATTACGATCTCGCACATAAACATTCTGAACTAGGGCACAACAGTCCTATAGAAACGATGAACCTTAACAACAAGCTACCCCCCCCCCTCCCCCTCAAAAAAATGAAAGTTGTTTACTCCATTAACTATTCCGTTGATACCCAATGTACACCCCCTCTTTCTTGTTTCCCTTTTGCCAATATTGTTTCCTCCACATTTGTGTTATTATGTATTCATTGAGGGTAGTCATGCTATCAAGCTATGCTTACTTTGTCAACCCTCCTGGTTGAGGTTTTCGACTAGTTACAGACAGCCTTACTATACTGTAGGCCCCCCCCCCGCCCCCCTTGTTCCGCCTCTACTCTTTTGTCATGTGTTAAATTTGCAATGATTTGTTTGTTATATGTTCGTAAAACTGCAAAAGAAAAAGAAAATCAAACAGAAATAAATAAATCGAAATCAAATCAAATCAATGAGTCATGGACCCCACATGTTTTACAAATACGTAGGCGTCCCTTCCTGTTTACACCCATGACAACCAGTTTGACCCAATAACTGGCAACTGCGAACAGTGCAAGGAGGCGAACGAACTTTTCTAAGACCAAAACAAATCGTAAATTTCATTACCGCTACAATTATTTGGCTTTTAGGAAGTAAGTACATAGAATATTAAGATTGAATGAGATAATTGAAACATGGACTCAATTATTAAGATTGCACAGAAATTCCACAAATTCAGTCATCAGACCCAATTTCATGTTCATCGCCTAGCAAAGACTGTTATGTCCAGACGCGGATCCAGGATTTTCCAATAGGGGGGGGGGGGGGGGGGCCGAAATTTTTTAAATCGCATAGACCAATATTTCAACTTAACATACCAATACTGACAAGGTCATAGCACCTTACCGGTACCTACAAGCGGGCACAATTTTGGAGAGGGGGCAGGCTCGTGTCATGTATGTTGTCCGATATCAACATCCGCCTTTTTTTTAATTTATGCCTTTTTCCCTAGCGCGGAAGCTTTGACATTTCATTAAATAGAGAAAGAAGTCGATTCATTGTACCATTCCGACTCTTAGTTAATGTTTCGCCCCTCCCGCGCGAAGCGCGGAAGTTTTGACGTTTCATTACATCATTAGAGAAAGATGACGATTGGTTGTACTATTTTCGACTCTTAATCCTTGTCTGATTTCGGTTTGATTAAATTATCTGAGAAAGAAAACAATTCGTTGTACAGTTCTCTACTCTAAATCCTTGTCTGAATTCAGTTTCCCACTCCTGCGCTTCGCACGGAAGCTTTGACATTTTCATTAAATTATAAGAGAAATAAGACGATTCGCTGTACCGTTCTTTACTCTAAATCCTTGTCTGATTTCAGTTTCATTAAATTATCAGAGAAGGAAGACGATTCGTTGTACCGATCTCTATACTCTAAATCCATTCAGTTTTCTCCCCTCCCGCGCGAAGCGCGGAACCTTTACGTTACCCTTAGTCGTTACTCTTAATCCTTGTCTGAATTCAGTTACCCCCTACCAGGCGAAGCGCGGAAGCTTTGACGTTTCATTTAATTATTAGAGAAAGAAGACAATTCGTTGTAGCGACTATTAATCATTGTCTGAATTTTCAAAAATGTTTCTCTGTCTCATCGAGCAAAAACTATCGACACTGCGGATCCGACACAGCAACATTATTATCATGCGTATCTTTCTTGCTCCCTCGACGTGGCGACTCCACCCAACATCCCCCTCTCTCTCTCTTACTCCCACCCCTCTTCCATCAGGCCTTTACCTACATCTCTCTCTCTCCTCTTTCATTCTCGTTTCTTTTTTTTCTCTTTTCTTCTTTTTTTCCCCTTTTCTCCTTTTCTTTCTTTTCTTTCTTTTCCTTTTCCATTCCCTTTTCTTTTCTCATTTTCCAGTTTTCTCTTTCTTTCTTCTCTTCTCTTTCCTTTCTTTTCCTTTTCTTGTTTTCTTTTCTTTGCCTTTCCCCCTTCTTTTCCCCCTCCCCTCCGCTCACTTTTCCCGACAGCTGCACAATTTTACCGACAATTTCCTGACAGGTGGGGGTGTCGCACCCCACCCCCTCCCTTAGCAACGCCTCTGAGTGCAGGGTCTGTTTCAAACGTTTAACTTCGAATCCGAATTAACTTCGAACTTCGAATGTGGCCTGCCCCCTCTATTCATACCCCCCCCCCCCCACACACACACACACACACACTCCAATAACGTCTCCCAAGCCTTCTGGAATAACCCCCGATCTCCCGATTACAATTCTGCTCCTCTTTGTAGGGCCGAGCGGGGCTTCATCATGAGTGCTTTTACATGAACCTTTTTAAAATAAATATATTATGCTGGATTTCGACCCGGATTGCAAAGACTAAAATGACAGGGTGATCATCCCCAGTATACGCTTGCAGTTCACAGTCATGTGCACCCCCTTCCTCCGTATTCCCTTATATACCGTTACCGTCAATGCCATTTACATATGGCCGGCCCCCTCTTCAATAACGGCCCCAAGCCTTCGGGAATGACCCCCAAAATGTCCTGATTACCATTCTGCCGCCCTTTGGAGGGGCCGGGCGCAGCCTTTTCAGAAGACAGTGTTTTTACACAACTCTTTTCAGGTACTACGGCTCATAAACAAGTATGCTTAGAACTATTGAAAATAAGCTGAATTCAGACTCAGTTTTGCACAACCTAAAAATTACAATACGGACAGTCACCCCCCCCCCCCCCCATCCCCAGTTTTCTCTTACTCGTTGTTTCTGTCACTTTGTGCCATTTCCTTGTCTTTCTTCATTTCTCACCCGGCTTCTCTCTTCTTTTTCCTTTCTCTTTTCTCTCTCTCTCTCTCTCTCTCTTTCTTTTCTCTCTTTTTTCTTTTCTCTTCTCCTTTCTTCTCCTTATTTCTCTCCTCCTTTCTTTTATCCCTTCTTTTCTTCCTCTTTTTTCCTTTTTTTTTTTGGCGCCGCTAATAGGGGGGCCGCGGCCGTTTCGGCCCCCCTGGATCCGCCACTGATGTCTAGAACACATTAAGACAAAGACACGAATGCTTTTTCTCCTTCATCAATACTTTATTTCAAAAGTTTAACAAACAATATCAAAGCTTCGCTTGGTGAATGTTTGGATAGTAGGTTTACATGTAAACGTAGAGACATATCTAGCCATGTATCTTGTCATGTGTTTTCGACTTTATGCAGTACGTTTCGAAAGGTAGAAATGATTGTATTTGTTGGGTTAAACATAACACGGTGTAACTTTAATAAAATCATGTTTGTGATTAAAACCCGTGATAGAAATACAGTTTAAATCCCTCAAATTCAACCGGGTTTGTTTCCTACCAAATTCCTGATGCATTATGTATAATGTGTTGACTTGAACGAATATGTATCTGCTGGAAATTGTCGCATAAATATGCCAGCACACCTTTTATAAATCCTGCACCAAATATCCCGTAAACAGTATTATCATGCAGGCAGTCTCATTGTGCTACAAATGTGTACAGTAAAACTATGTTTCTGATGTGTTGCTCAACTTGCTCGTGAATTGGTCAATTTCAGAGTTTGATCACTCAAAGTAAATAACACTTATCTATGGGGCAACTTCATTAAAAAAAAAAAGATCTATTCAAAATAAAATAAGAAAAATGCAAAGTCTAAATATTTAAACATGAGGCGCATAAAATTGTAGATGTGTGGAATTTAATAACTTCAGTCTCTCCGTGCGGCCTGTATAGCAATAACTGTTGTCATTGTACGCCTGATTGACATTATCATGATTTTTAAATGTACGAATACTTATGTTATCACTTATCAATCACCTACGTATCACATTTGACTGATTACAATTAGTTTCTACTGATAAATGTCTCTTATATCAGCTGAAGTAGTACAAACTTTAAGATCTGAACGAGTAACGAAAAGAGTGAAAACAAAAATACAGTGCCCTTCCATGCAACTTAAAATAAAGAAAAAACGAACACCTAACACTAACACAGCAACACAGTTGCCAGATTGCAGGTAAACACATAAAAGGAGAGTCTCATTTCAGGCCGTCCTAAAAATTCAGACGAGGTAGTTCAGCATGTTTAGTCTTCATCAGCCTCCACATTCAGTATTCGTAGTGGTCTTATGTTGTGACTGATTGCGTGAAGGAACTGTACCATGTCGCGCCTTCCATCACGCAAGTCCATGCAAAGGTTGCGGAGCCTCTGCTGCAGATCACGGTACACCCTCTTGGTTTCCTTCCGTGGTGGGTTTCCCATCATGAACTGGGAAATCGCGACTTCAACCGCTGCTTGCTCTGCCTTCAGGTTTTTCACGGCTTTCCAGAAGGTCGGATGATAATGTCCCACCTGCTTTAAGAAGCCGAAGTTCCATGACTCGCACGCATTGTTTGTGCGCGGATTGCCGTCTATTGTGGCCTGATGCACATTCCAGACATGCGGTGGGAAGATGGCTGGGAGGCGGTAGCGCATGTTGAATTGCTGTCCTTGTCGTTGCTGCTCAGGCCCTCTGATATACGTTCTCTCAAAGTACTGCAATAGAGCATTGCCCTCCGGAGGAGCGACGGCATTCACGTACTCGAAGCCTCGCACCACATCTCCTTCCGGTAGGAACGCCAATCCATCAAGCATTCCCACGAAGTGGCGGAAGTCAGCATCTTCACGATAGTGCTCTCCCAAACCAAGCTCCTGCATGAACAAAGACAATTCATATAAGTGAGAATAATATTTACACAAGGTGTTGAGCTACTAGTTTTTAAAAAGTCTCTAAACGCTTTAACAAACAAAATAAAATAATAAACAATGACATATATAATAAACAAAACCCAAACCATAACCCCCCCCCCCCCAAAAAAAAAAGCAAATAAACCTACAAATACCAATTCATATGAAACACACATCTATGTGAACAGAGAAAGTTAAACTTAATCATCAAAAGCAATTCTGAATAAATGTGTCTTGGGGCAAGTTTTGAATTGGTTAACAGTCTGACAGTTTTGACATTTAAAGGTAGTTTGTTTTAAAGTTCAGAAGAAGCTTTGCAAAAAAAGCGATGACCATAAGAAAGAGTTGACACCAAAGAAGACACGAGGTTTAATTGTATGCTGGAGTGCCCCAAAGAAACTACAGTACTTTCATATTTTTTTTAATGCCAAAATAATCTTACATTTGACTTAGAAATGGGAAGACAAAACAGTGTGTCTCAAAACATAGAAATCGAATTTAACGGCAAAAATAATGAATACATCATTTTACAAGATATGTATTGAAAGCTATGCTTCAGTCTCTACTTTCATTTGATGCAGAATTTGATATGAATAATTCATGCATGATTGAATTACAACAATGAAAAGTATCTCTATCAAAATTGGATTTGTATATGCAAATTGCAATAAATATAGCTTTTGATAATTTTGTCATGAAATCCGGTTTCTTTTTTTTTCTTCTGGGGCATACTGTGTATTTCAGTTAATTTTATTATTCCCACGATACCAACGAAAAAAACGTTGTTCACAGCATCCGATATTCTTTGAGCAATACAGTTTTCACGTATAATCGATTAATTCAATAATAATTAATAGAAAATGAGTATCCTTAATCATAGGATTATCACATTGATCAAAATAAAGTAGTCCTATTTCTGACATGTTGGAATAAAATGAGCTTTCCTATTTGAAATAAAATTTTACGCAATACGCATTATCTTGTTTGACAGAATGATGTTCCCTACAAAATCATAAATTTAGGTTCGTTGTTTAAAGGAAAACAGTAATTGATGTAATATTCACCTGTACGCGCCTCCAGGTTGACTGCGTCAAGTGGTAGAAGCACCCCTGGTTTCGATGAGGGGTGAAAACTGCCTCTGCTGCTCGCATGGCGGCAATCTCGAAATCAGTTATGATTGTGGCAAGCATGGGTTGGAGTCCTAGTTCTGCAATCTTGTCCAGCACCGCTTGGAACAATTCTTGATATGTTTCTCTGGATTTGTTTTGCAAAAAGGCGTAAAGCACAGTGATTTCCACTTCCCCCAGAGGCACTCGAATGATGTAAAGTTGTTTGAAAAGTTTCGGAGACATGGCAAAATTGCCATCCATAAAACAAAGTTGGGCATTTGCGAAGTGGGTAAGACACTCCTCTGTGGCGAACGCAATGATTCTACTCCGAGCTTGTGGACCGTTGTCGTATAGGAGGAACTGCGTTGGGTTGGGCCCATCCGTCATCGTTTGTTCTGGGTTCATGTTCAATTCTGCTAGGGTTGCAGGCTCCAGAGGTCCTCTGCGTTGATTTAAGATTGTCCTTCTGATAACGGTGCGGCTCGGAAGACTTCCCTGTGCTTCTCTAGGCAGATTTCTCACCGTATCAGTGTAAATTTGTTTGGGTGTGTCATTGGTTGTCGATGCCCGTGCCTTCATTTGCTGCCGCGCTTTTGCTATCTCCGCTCCTACTAGGTCAACGTCATGGTTGTGTGGGTTAGCTGTGTTCGGTTGGGCCCGATTGAGATCTGTTTTTAAGGTTCCTTTGCACCCACGTGTACGCCTCACACACTTCCAAAGAATGGACACCTTGCCCTCAAATACTTTCGTGTACATATGCCCCTCATATATGACCTTCATTCCACCCTTATTTGATGCAATTACCTCCATCGCATGTCGTTTGTCCTTTTTGATATCTATACGTTCTTGTCGAGGGAATAATTGATGCCCATTGCTGTTCTCCCAGACTATTTATACCTCAATATTAATCCGCAATCAACTTTTTTGCGCATCATTATATAAATAACGATGTAACTTAAACCGAACCTCTGCAAAGCGCGCGCTTCTCTGGAATGTGATGGTGCGGTTGGTATTTAAAGATAAAGTTGAGTTCTGGGGCCCGTCTTACAAAGAGTTACGATTGATCCAAATCAATCGTAAGTCCTCCAATCAGTCGTAAGTTTGCAGTCTCCTATCTCTTATGTACATAGTTACGATTGATATCAATCGCAAATAAGTTACGATTGATATCAACTCTTTGTAAGACGGGGCCCTGGTCTTGCGATTGCATTATGAAAGGAACGGTGTGGAAGCAATCAGAAAAGGTTGATCATCTAGCATAAACATGTAAGCATTTGTGTATAGTGCAAGGTTTTGGAGTCATCAAAATGATAAAAACTTTGGCCCAGTCTTGGTAGTAACAAGCACTGTACACAGAAAGATATTGATATGGGACTAACACACATATGGCAATCAAATCGGGCCTCATTTTAAAGCTGTTACTTGTCATATCTGGGATATGAAGTCATTTGAAATAGATTTTCAGGGAATAACTTTTTTCTTTGATGTTCTTCCACACTTGCATAATAAGAATGATAACAAACGCTCACAAATTATTGTTCACCTTTCCCCAGAACTCAACTTTCTCTTTAATTGATGGAACATGGGCGGTTTTCTGCTTTGTATCGGAGTAACAAAGCTGCTTATTGATTTTTTCCCAGGCTATTTTATACCGCAATAGTAATCGACAATATTTTATTGCAACGCGCGCACTTCGGGAATGTGATGGGTTAGCATTGATAACATGGCTTCCTGCTTTGTTTCAGAGTATCAAAATACCAAGCCCACAAGAAAGTGGAATTATCGGAAATATGCATTTATTGGAAATTACATATAATAGTAGTCATTGCTACGCAGTTTAAATGTCCAACAATCTTCAAAAGTGAAGGAGAAGTGGGAGGGGGGGGGGGAGGTTCATAGATATCTGATCCTATTTTGGGGGCTGTACTGACTTTTCTTTTTATTTAATAATTACACCATGGAGCGACAACTCAGCCTATAAAACATGGCCAAACTTCTCGATTATAGAAATCTTTTTCCCCAGAAGTTTGCTCAGTGTACCAGTACCATTTGCTTTTACAAAAGCATACCGGTATATAAATATTGAATAAGGCAGACTAATGGGACATGCATGGTTGCTACTCCGAGTTTCACGCCTTGCAAGCGATCATCAGACGACTGATAGCATTCTTCAAAGTACATGATTCCTCTGCAACCTTGGTACAAATACGCTCAAAATAAGACTTAACTAATACAATACCTGAATACAATATAATAAGAATTACTCATGAGTACTTCTAATTGTATTTTATTAGTTAAGTCTTATTTTAGGGGTATTTGTACCAAGGTTGAAGGCAGGGGCGTATATCCCATGAATATCTACAAATCTAACCCTATAAACCCGGGGCCGTATGCTAAATTGTTTTTCCAATGGACTATCTATAGTAATTGTGTATGCGCAAATGATCATTTTCCTCGACGACATAAATATACGAATTATTTCGTAAACTTAGTCAACATCAAAGCTATATATTTTAATGCAGGTGCGGAGCTAGGATCCTATTTCAGGGAGGGGCGGTACTCGGTAGTGAGCAAGCGAAGCGTGCTCATTAGGGGTGTCGGTGTTAGGCCTCCCGCACGAAGCGTGGAAGCTTAGACGTTTCCTTAAATTATTAGGAAAAGAAGACGATTTATTGTACCGATCTCGACTGTTAATCCTTGTCTGGATGAGGTTCCCCCCCCCCCCTCCCGCGCGAAGCGCGAAAGCTTTGACGTATTATTAAATTATTATAAAATGTAGACGATTTGCTGCACCGTTCTCGATGTTGATCCTTGTCTAAATTCAGTTTCTCCCCTCCCGCGCAAAGCGCGGAAGCTTTGACATTTCATTAAATTATTAGAAAGTAGATGATTCGTTGAACCGTGCTCGACTTTTAATCCTTGTCTGAATTCAGTTTCTCCCCCTCCCGCGCGAAGCGCGGAAGCTTTAGAGGTTTCATAAATTATGAAAAAAAGCAGAAGATTCGGTGTACTGTTCTCGAATTCATCTTAATCCTTATCTGAATTCAGATCTCCCCCTCCCGCGCAAAGCGCGGAAGTTATGGCGTTTCATTACATTATTAGAGAAAGTAGACGATTCGTTGAACAGTACTCGACTCTTAATCCTTATCTGAATTCAGTCCCCCCCCCCTCCCCCCCCCCCCCCCCCCCCCTCTGCGCGAATCGCGGAAGCTTTGACGTTTTCTCAAATTATTAGAGAAAGAAATCAGTTTGTTGTACCGCTGTTGACTCTTAATCCTTGTTTGAATTAGTTTCCCTGAAAATTTTTAATCTCTGATTTCTTTAGCTGATATTATAGGAAAGTGAAACTTCGAGAAAATACAAGTATTGTAGTTGTAGTCACTCTCGAAGTCATCACAGCGGATAAAAAGTCACAGTTCGTAGGGGAAAAAACTTGTCGGCTGACCGACAATATACATCTCACCGACTTCAAACTTCTGCATTGATATAGTACACGAGGATCGAGCAAAAATACCGACACAGCTGACCCGACACAGCAACATATTTACCCATGTCTTTCTTTTACTTCCACTCCTCCTTTCTCAGGCTCTTACCTCCCCCCTCTCTCCTCTCTTCACCCCCCCCCCCGTTTCTTTTGTTTACCTTTTCTTCTTTCTTTTTCTTTTTTCATTTTCTTCCTTTTCTTTCTTTTTCTTTCTTTCCTCTTCTCCCTCTTTTTCTTTTTTCTCTTTCTTTCCTTTCTCTTTCTTTTCCTTTCTTTCTTTTCTTTTCCTTTCCCTCTCTTTTTCCCCTCCCCCTTTTCTCTTTTTTCCCGACGGCAGCGCAATTTTACCGACAATATCCTGACAGGTGGAGGGGTGTCGCACCCCCACACCCCCCCCCCTTTGGCGACGCCCCTGGTTATAGGATAATCATGTACTTTTAAGAATGCTATCAATTGCCTGAAGATTGCTTGCAAGGCGCGAAACTCGGAGTAGAAACCATGTCCCATTAGTCTGCCTGCTCTGCCTTGGAATTGACCACTGTTCGGAAGGATATATAGCAAAGCATAATATAAGAGGAAGGGGGAGAGCAGCCGGGTCACCGTGCCCCTGAAGAAGAATACCCTTCCCTCCCCCCCCCCCCCCCCCGTCTTCCTTCGGCAATAGTCGGGCAAAAAGTCACAATTTGGGGCCGAAAGGTAAACAAATTTAAACTGGGAAAGTGGAAAATAAAGCAGCGGTGAAATAACAACTGCAGAATATCCCTCGCTGTTCTTTTTCGATAAGCCTAATATATAACCCGGGTGTAACCATAACAAACTTGCCACATGATTTTGTTTTTATTTTATACCTCTAACATTAATACCTCTGACGTTTTTTCCTCTGACATTTTTACCTCTGACATTTTTACCTCTGACATTTTTTCCTCTGACATTTTTACCTCTGACATTTTTACCTCTGACATTTTTACCTCTGACATTTTTTCCTCTGACATTTTTTCCTCTGACATTTTTACCTCTGACATTTTTACCTCTGACATTTTTACCTCTGACATTTTTTCCTCTGACATTTTTACCTCTGACATTTTTACCTCTGACATTTTTTCCTCTGACATTTTTACCTCTGACATTTTTTCCTCTGACATTTTTTCCTCTGACATTTTTTCCTCTGACATTTTTTCCTCTGACATTTTTACCTCTGACATTTTTACCTCTGACATTTTTACCTCTGACATTTTTTCCTCTGACATTTTTACCTCTGACATTTTTACCTCTGACATTTTTTCCTCTGACATTTTTACCTCTGACATTTTTTCCTCTGACATTTTTTCCTCTGACATTTTTACCTCTGACATTTTTACCTCTGACATTTTTACCTCTGACATTTTTACCTCTGACATTTTTACCTCTGACATTTTTTCCTCTGACATTTTTACCTCTGACATTTTTACACCGAGCCATATAGCCAAGCAGTGCATATAGAATGTTTGATCAACTGTGACTGGCATGATGAAATTTATATTGAAGCAATGTTAACCATGCAAGGACCCGATGTTATTCTTACCGATGTCTAGCCAATCAAGATAGAGCTTGAGTGATTGGTTTTATGATCCATACAGAGATGATAAAAGAAAAGAGATCTCGTTATCAGTTTGCTTGCCTATAACAAACCCTCATGAGCTGGGACGGTACATCGAAAATAATGAAGGGAAGGGTGACATGATAATCTTGTCTCAAAATTATAGCTCTGTATAGACAAACAAATCGACGAGAGAAAACATTTGAAGTAGTTGCACATCTTCATCGTCAAGAGTAAACGCAATGGCTCAGTGGTAAAGAGCAGTGGTAACGTAACCGAGAGATTCCAGGTTCGAAACCAAGTCAATGCGCGAGTCGTGCCCTTTGATTAAATTAATCATTATTAGGCAGTAATCGTCATTTTCAGGTCCCTCGGAGAGGAATTAAAGCTGTCGATCCCATTGTCGCTTACTAGTAAGCATAAAAACTTGGCTTAGCAGTCAGTTAAAGAAATATTCAATCGTAGATGGATGCTCACATCGTTGCTTTTAGCACTGCCGTCCTGTTCTTTTTCTTTTTTTTCATTTGCCTGTCGAAAGTTGTGAAAGGGCGCTTCATGTTTTGCTCCCCACTTCTGTGTGGGTGCCTCCTTCTTTCTAATGAGTGCGATTGGATTCGAAACATTTCCTCAATTAACATCAACTTCACGTTCGCATCAATCACCACATTCTAACATCCTTCACACATACAAGCCAACAAGCATTTACCGATTTAGCCACGATGTCGCCATTAATCTACAGCTAGTCACGTGTTTATGACGTAAACAATACATCAACGAGTGGAGATAAAGTGTTAAACATGAGGTAAATAAACGTGGGCACATATGTCTCTTAGTGTGATACATGCTACCTCTTTAATGCTTTCCGGTAAGTGATTTGAAACCAAAATCCAATAATTAAAAAAATCTAGCGTAACGGACATGATGACAGATTAAGCGTAACGTACATGACACATTAATTTTGACT